TTATGTGCTGGCTTTAAATCATTTTATTCAACTTTACAGAAACCATGGCAGTTGTAACCATTTCTTACTTTTTCAAGGATTCATGAGAAATATCCATAACTTTAACCACTGCAGTATTAATGTAAAGCATGTGAAAAGGTTTATATTTCTATGTTAAATAAAGGAAGAAACATCGGGGCGGTAAAAGGCTTTTCACAAGAATGGTTTCTGTTTTTCTAGAGAGAGAGGAAGTTGCGGTGAGCAAGCTCAGGCTCGAATGTGTTTCACATGCAGCTCCTTATAGCTGGATGGAAAGTTTTTACTCGCATTGTTTCTCATTTATTGCACCCATTACATGGAAAGAAAGAGACAGAGCCCGTCATTTACTAGACACCCTCATTCTCTCTCTTCATACGCTTCCATCCACTCAGAGAAAAGGATAATGAAAAGAATTCGTTTTGATCACATCTGGTGAAGGACTGTGACTGGAGTGTTTGTATGCACACAGGTGTATCCTCTGTGTAAGGTCATGTAGAAGCAAGCTGGATTGGAACATAATACCAGAAAAAGAGCTTGTGCCACTGGAAGTGGACAGGTCAAACCTGCTTCCAATGCTTGCAAGAAGTTGAAAATCATTTGATACTGATGAGCAGGTGAGATTATAATTATTTTTCATTTCATTATGAGGTTTTCACTAGTATTTGGTGTGTATGTCTGTGTCTGTGGTGTGTCCATTTTTGAGACAGAGACAGATGGTTGTTGTAATAAAAACAAGTATAAAAAGGTCACATACTTAAAATTCACATAAATTCATAGGACCGTTCAGCTGAATTACTTGCCTGTTTTAATGAGCAAAGATCATTCTATATACAAAATGAATAAATCCCCAATAGGTAGATTTCCACTGTGGGCTACAGTGTAGTCAAACAGAAAGAGAAGTTTCTGTATGAGTCAGGCTGCTGTCACTCTAATCAGTACAGACTGAGCATGATTAAATAATCTATTTTTGGTTTAACAAGCTATGCACTTAAATTTTTAAGTAATTACAACAAATGAAGAACATTTCGTACGTTCCAAAAGGAATTCTACAAGGTCATAATGAATTACAGAATTATTACTTTCATACATTTCAGTCCTTTTAATGACCACCAGCTTTTTTACTTTCTTATTTTAAATATCATCAATACCACCACATTTATCATACTGAATGTTCAGTAAACAAAAGACTAGAAGACTGGTCTTTCTAGAGAACATTAGTCTAATAGTAGAATGTTGATGGACTTCTTCACTTCAAAATCTCTTTACAGTGTCCCTGTCTGTTGTTTAACAGTACATTAACTAAAGTATGCTCTAGAACAGTATTTCTTAGTCTCAGTTCTGGAATATTTAGTACTGACCAGATTAGTGTTTTCTGTGGGGTAACATACCTGAATCAATGCATCAGCTAGTAATTAGGTGTTACATAACCTGAATAGCTTTAATAACCAACCTTTCAGGCTTTGACCATTTTCATACAAAGAATATGAGAAAAATGCATACTTTTTTTTTCTTTTTCTAAGTTTTGTCTTCATTTAATATACCATTTAGAAGTATTGTCACTCTTAAAAATATAAACAAATACTATGTAAAATGTTTTGTGGCCTGCAACTTTTAAGATATCTCAGTCAAAAGACAAGTTATATTTTAAAGTAAAAAAATGAAGACAATGACATTTAGAGAAATAATGCGTTCAATCAAGGTTCTGTTTTATCAGGAGGCAGCAGAGTACAATTTTAAAGAGATTTAAAACAATTTGTTATTGTATTTTTTACTCCTACAGCACTTTTAGATATTGTCCTATAAATATTCCATTGTCACACATACATATTGCATAATTTTTAAAAGTTATAAATAGTAAGGTGCTAATATCTCAACTACAGCATCCTCCACAAATATTGGCACTACTGGTAAACATGAGCAAATGTAAAAAAGTATTCTTTAATATGTATTCTTTCAATCTTTAATTCTAAATATGAAGAAAAATAAAAAGAAGAAAACGTTTGCTGTCAAGAGCTAACAAACTCAGCCGCCTACGGTTTCCCAGACGTTGGAACTTTCAGTGGGTTTGTGATCTATGGTCAGATGAGATCAAAGCGGATAATTTTTTACTATAAACACCAGAGGTGTGTTTGTGTAGACACAAACACAGCCAGGCATAAAAGTACCTCATCCCCACTGATTAAGGTGATTTGGTCTTTGATATTGTAGCAATGTTTTTCTTCCAAAGGCCTTGGAGAACTTGTTCGGAAACACATTATCATGGGCTCCATCAAGTACCAGCAGATGCTAAATCAAAACCTGACTGCCGGGAAGCTTAAACAGGGTCATGTTTGGATCTTTGAGCAAGACAATGATCCAAAGCATACCCATCAACACAAAAAATAATTCCCTGACCACAGCAGATTTTGCCATGGCCATCCCAGTCCCTTGACCTAAACTCCATAGAAAACCTGTGAGATAAACTGAAGAAGAGCATGGACCTGAAGGATCTGGAGAGATTTTTAATGGAGGAATGGTTTCAGTTGCCTTGCCATGTGTTCTTCAGCCTTTTTAAACATTACAGGAGAAGACTCAGTGCTGTTATCTTTGCAAAAAGAGGCTCCACAAAGACAAATATTTATTTCATAAGAATATGTAGGTTTTTTCTTTCAATCATTGCACTTTGAATAAAGGTTACATTTTTTTGTAAGAAAGATCAAAAGGATAAGCAGTAAAGAATGTTTTGCTCATGTTCACTACAGGTGCCAATATTTGTGGAGGGCACTGTACACCAGTTGGTTAGCCTGCTACAGACAGTAAACACTCACTATGTATATACTGGAATTGATATATATGTGTTCATGAGGAAAGTCATTAAAAAAATCTGATGTTATAGTTGCTACAGTGTTATGAGACAGGTGAGCTGATGATAGGGGGACATACACACACAAATACACAGAGATCGTTCCTCCTTGCACATATTTATCTTGAACACTTAAACATGTATTTATTTGAATAAGAACCTGTCTTTTTTTTCACTGAAATGAAACTGTAAGAAAAGTGATAGCAATACTAACAGGCTAGCCTGATAACAGGTGCTTTGCTTCACTTGTGTAAAGATAAATGTCAAAAATGTCAGCAAAATGTGTTTATACTTTTGTTTAGTCTTTACTGGCATCTTTACTGAAGCTCTAGTTGTTTGAAACTTAATTATATCACTAATAGTGGGTATTTGTGATACAGGTGTCAAGCTATTTTATAGCTATTGCGTAATTTCTGAGCGTCAACAACTTTTTATCTCATTTCATTTTTGTGTTTTGTGTGTTTGTGAGCTTTCCTGTGGTGATGGATAACTAAAGGTGCATGGCCTGTGTGTCACCTATAGACTTTAGTAAATCATGTAAGATTACCATTGAAGAGTTTCTAAAGAATCCGGGTGCTTAAAGTTAAATATCAAGGGGAATGTACATTAGTTAGATTTTGTCATATATTTGTCATATATTGTCAGTGTAAGATCAAGCATTAAAAATCAAGGACATTTTTTCGCACCTTTTTTTGCTCATCTTTATAAGTAATTACTCTGGCGGGCAATGTACCTGCATTCAGTGTTTTGCATTTAAATACCAATAGCATTTTTAAAATGTATATTCATCATCATCAAAATAAAATGAACAGTGTTATTTTCTGTTCTATTGATTTTGGATCAGCTATGGAGTGTAGTTATCATAAACCATATGTGCTTTTGTAAAAAATATTTATACCTCAGGAAGGGTTAGATTACCACTAAAGAGTATATAAAGGCCAGTGGCATGACATGGATTATTTTATCATTTTTGAAAGGCCAGATGAACTGTACTTCTCTGAGCTTTCCCCACCAAAATGTTTTCTCAATTAGTGTTGCAACTAGCTGCCAATCGCTATGGCAGCTAATGCTATTAGAGAGCCTGTTATAGGTAAAGACAGCAGGACCCATTATGATCACAGTTAAATTGCAGCAGGGGAAAGTAGAACATCTATCATACTGAGGTCTAATAAAGATGCTTTTCAAAGCAATGTGTTCATTCTCTTTTAAAAATTCAAACTTTTCAACATATTGGCCAATAGAGGGTTAATAACTATCAAAAATATTTTCTGCACTATCATAAAATTAACATTTTGATATTACTCCCATGAAGACTGAAGACTGAAATTGATGACATTTCTAGTTCTTTTCTTTCTTTCTTTTTTATTTCTGCTGCCTTTTCATTTCATTCTACTCACTCATAGTATTTCCCTCTTAAATATACACATAATTGCATAAAAGTAACTTTGTTCTTCCAGTTGCAGTTAATGCTATATCTCAAATGCCTTCAATTTGCGGTGCTACAAAAAACAAAAAAAAAAACAAAGCACAACAACTAACCATAAAAATTAAGCTATATCAGTATGTCAGGTTAACCAGTGATCATTTATGTCATTTGTTTTTGGAGATAATTAGAAATAAACTAAGACATTTCATTAGTTTAGACTTGAATCTTCCCTCTGGCCTGATTTTCATCAGAACAATGCGAAGGTTTTGTTTCACACTGCTAACATATAAGCAGCAAGTCATGAAAAATTTGTAAACAAATATTATGTTGCAGGTCACAGTAAAATATAAATGACACATACAAAAGATATCAATATCAACATATATGAAGGAAACATACACATAGGAAACATACAAATCAACCTTCTCTATTATAAAAGTCATACACTTTGCTGTGCTTACTTATCCATGAAATAGAATTGTGCCTTTTGTATCAGTCTAGAATTTTATGTTACTAGTAAGAAAGGCATGTAAAAAGCAGTCCTTTGTGCATAATATCAGTGACTGTAACAACTTTTGAATGACAAATTCTAACGTCACAAAAGTTATCTTTTAAGGTTTGCTGCAATATTAATATTATTTCTTGCTGTTTTTGAAGGTAGAGGATGGCTGCAACCATGAATGAGACATACAACAACACTTGTGTGAGCATTGAAATCAGTCCAATTAGTGATCTGCTAATGAGCATCTACATTATTGCATTGGTCCTGGGCCTCATTTTCAATCTGCTCACTGCTTGGCCCATTGTCCAGCAGATCCGCAGCAAGAATGTGCTAGGGGTCTACCTCCTCAGCCTTTCTGTGTCTGATCTGCTCTATATCCTCACCATGCCTCTGTGGATCTATTACTACCACCATGACCACAAATGGACTCTTGGTCAGGGCATGTGCAGGCTCGCTGGTTTCTTCTATTACTCCAACATGTACATTAGTATCTATCTCCTGTGCTGCATCTCCGTTGACCGTTGCCTGGTGGTCACCTTCCCTCTAAAGGTCAAAGCCTTTCGTCGTTACAAATATGCTTGGCTTATCTGTGGGCTCATTTACATCTTTGTTATGAGCCTACACACTCTGGTTTTGTACACAGACAAGGTGAATGACCTGATGGACTCCCAGAAGCATTGTTATGAGACCTATCCCATGACTGAGCATGTAGCTTTTTTCAACTTCTTGCGAGTAGGTATTGGTTTCCTGCTACCACTGCTAGTTCTAACAGTCTGCTACTGGCAGATCCTGAGCAAGGTACAGAAAAGCACAGGGGTGGATAAGCAAGGCAAACGCAAAGTCAAGCTGCTGTCAGTGGGAGTCATTGCCATCTTTTCCATCTGCTTTGCCCCCTACCACATTCTCTTACTGGCACGGTCAATTGCCTTTAATAGAATGGACAAGAAGGCTTACTGCACCTTTGAGCAAGCACAGCACTTTAACTTCTCCTGCACTTTGGCCTTGTCCAGTCTCAACAGCGTAATGGACCCACTGCTTTATGTACTGGTCAGTAATGTGATTAGGGAAGATATATGGCTGTGTTGGAGAAACAGGCAGACCCCTGGGGAGATGAGAAGTGTTTGCCATTTCAAAATGGAGGACCAGGGTAAACCCCACAGCTTTGGAAACTGAATGAGGCCTTTTAACAGCTGTGGTCTGATATGTGTGTCCTGTTCTGAAGAATCCAGGCTAAATTATAAGCCACTGTGATATTTGAAAGAACAGACATGTCAGTGTGTCCATGTGAGAATCAAAGATCTGTTTCTGAATTGCATTTATGGATTTTCTGTCGAATGTCTAACTTGGGCATGGCCCAAGTGTTGTGAAATACAGCTTTTCAGTTTATCATACTTCTTTTTTATGTCACTAGAGCAATGATGGATTGCATACAAATGTGTTCATATTCTGAACCTTTAAAATCAGTAACTGAAATTATTTTTTGAAATTATTTTTCTGTGCAACCTACTGTCTTATGAACTGTTCATATATGAACACATACTTTGAGGATATTTAACATTCAGTGAGATGTCTTGGCTTCTACAGTTATTCAGCTACAGTTATCATTATCATGTTTGGAGCTAAGATTGTGTCACTGCTACAAGCTCTATTAGAACCTCGTGCTAGAGAGGACTGCTCAATCCCCACCACAAATGAACACCAGTGTGGACATATCAAAGGCATATTCTTACAGGTGTAAATTCCTGTATCTGTCATTCCTACTAATATTATGTTTATATGTTTATGTTAGTATTTAGCTATTTTATGTTTAAGCAAAACAAAAGTCAAATGAAGGACTGAGAGAAAAACACTGGAACTCACAGAATGATTTGCCCTTGAGATGTAAGTTGACTGAGATGTAAAGATTATACCCAAAGAACTAGCTTACGGTAACATAAAGTGCCAATATATTAAGGTCAGAACTTTGTTTAATCAGTAATTTTTTTCTGGCCTAACAAGAAACAAATTGTATTTTTTTTATTTTAAACATATATAGAGCTAAACTGTGCATGGAGGTAGACCGGGATTGGGCACTCCTGGTCTAAGCCATCTTGTGTTGTTCATCAGGTTTGTTTGTTTTTTTTTTTTCTTGAGACAAGTGTCATTAGAAAGGAAAATCATCAGTCAATGTTATACATGACACACTCCATTTTTTTCCTTGCAGACATTTACATCCAGGCTTGGCTTTCTAGACATATCAGAAGAGGACAACATGTAATCAATGCCAGATACTGTCTCAGAAGTATAGACTGTGGGCATATAAAAATACCTCTTTCATTGTTGGAGGACAATTGGATGCTTTTGTAAAGAAGTAAATGTGTATACCAAATATATCTTTCCTAATTGCATGAATGAACAAACGTTAAAACAAAACTGAATTATACACATGGGAAATTTTGTATTTTGTAGCTGGTTTGTTTTTATTCCTGGTTTGTCAATTGCAGCATCCTCAGGATCTGAGACTAAAATTATTATTATTATTATTATTATTATTATTATTATTGATGATGATAAGTGCCTTCACACCATTTTCAATGTCTGTGACCATATTAATTGGGTTTCTCCAGAATGTCCTGTGTTCTGTTTGAGTCTTTAATGGTTCTCAATGACTGGTTTATGATTCCTCTCATTGTATCTATCTATCTTGTTGGTGGTTGCCCTCTCCCTCTTTTACCTTCAATTCTTTCAAGCGTAGTCTTTTCCAATTAATTGGTTCTTCTCAGAATATCTGATACAGATCGTTGCATTCGAAGATCTTGTTTAGGTCTTGCATCCTTGATCTGCCGAGTGCCAATCTGTGTCGTATTTCTTGAGTACTGGATTCTCTGTTAATAATTCATCAGAGAAGGCAAAAGCAGTCCACCATTTTCACCAATGGTAAAGTTCTCCATCTGTGGTAAAGTTAGCAGTCTTTCCTGTCATCATAGTTAGTCTGGTTAGTCTTTTTCATATTGAGCTGAAGACCCATCTTTTCACTCTGTTCTTAAACATTCATCTTCCTCCAGTCAAGCTTCTCTATGTTCTGCATATCAGGTTGAACAGATATGGTGATAGTATGCAGCTCTGTCTAGCTCCTTTGCCTATGTGGAACCAGTGTGTTTGTACATTTTCTGTTCTGACCATGGTTTGTTGATCAATGTAGAGATTTCTCATTACAGCGATGAGATACTCTGGTATTCCCATTTTCCCGTTTGAGGACCTTTCATAATTTCATGTGGTCAACACAGTCAAAGGCTTTGCTTTAGTGAATGAAACACGTTGTCTTTCCTGTACTCTTTAGCTTTTTCAGTGATCCACCAGTTTCAGGTGTCATAGTCCACATTAAAGTATCTGTATTGTTACTGAGTCACTGATGTACTGAAGACTCAACATAGCTCTACTAGGAAGAACAAACATGTTGGGAGGGCATGAATTTTCTGGGCAATCTCTCTCCTGGTATGTGGTGAGAAGCCTGTCCCCTACTAGCACTGTAATTGCATTAGTCATACTTGACAGATAAATGTTGTAATTAGCATGTAGGCCCATTCAAAACATGAGCATCTCATTCCTCATTCCTCATCATTACAATTTCTCTCTTATTCTGTGCTTTAGTGTATCATCACCAAAGTGTGTGTGTGTGTATATCAGGATCAGGGGGTAGCTTGTGGTTGTGTGTGTTCTGTTTGTGTGCCTTATTGGTGAATGCTCAAATTCCTCTAGCATGTGAGACCTTTTATCTTTAGTCATGTGATTTGTGTATTGATTGGCTGTATAATATATACACCTGAGTAAAAAAGGCTGGTCAGAGTCTTTGAATATTTGGTCTCACATTAAACACAAACTAGCTTGGCGATGTTTTTCAACTTTTGGAAGCCATCAATGCTGAGTGGAAAAATGTTAACTCTTCTTTCTGTAAAAGGTTGCCTGCACGTCTATCCACAAGACAATCAAAGTGACTATTAAAAACTTAATTATTTTGCCATTTTGGGCTTGGCCTATTTTTTTTGCGTGGGAGTGTAGCACTTATAATAAATTGAAAGATCATTCCATGCACTGTTGGAAACAAGTCATTTTTATTTTTCGAAGGAGAACATAAATCCCAACAAAGATGCACAAACAACAACTATGGCAACAAGCAACATTTTACTGTGTAGTGTTTAGAGCAAACCATACACAATTATGCACAATGACAGTATCAACAAAAAGAGAAAATAACAGGATCTCATGTTTCTTCAGATGTGTGTTTATCTCTGAAATTTCCTCTACTCAGTGAGATTTTACTGCTAATTTCTCATTCCTGCTCTATGTGTGGGTAAAAAACATAGGCTTTTCTCATGGTTTCAGTAGTGTGAATACATTAACCTTATATTATGCCAATTTTACACTTCTTGTGGCCTGTCAGAATGAGGGATTGATTCACACAGCTCACAAAAGGAAATGACAAAGACACACAATAGCACTACAAGCACCCTCTTGTTCCCAATACATAACAGATAAAGCATCACATACTGTTCACCATGTGCCAAACAGAATGGCCACTGAACATGTCCACAGCTTAGGCAATTGTGTTTGGTAACCTTAGGCAGAAACTAAAGCTATCAGGACTGTACCCAGGGAAATATATACAATCTTTTCATTCTAGATTACACAGCTCTTTCAAGAGTGGTTGAACATCTGTGTGAGTAAAACTGTAAGAGGTAATGACTTTTACTGGAGCAGGGATTCTCAGGAGAAGAACAAAAACAAAAGGCTAAGAGGACCAGAGATGTTCAGTACCTCGAACACACAGGTGTCTAAAGGGACATGGTTCAATATTAACTGAGTTTCATGCTAATTTAATTGGCTGAGAGAAAACAGAATAAACATCCACTTGACACCAACATGGGCAGAGACCAGCTAGCAAGAAGGAGAGAGATATTTGAGGAAAAAAGGCAAAAGAAGCATCAGGAAGGAGTGTCAACATTTAGTTATGGTTCTCCTGAAAAATCCTGAATGTAGTGCGGGCAAAAACTTACTGATGGTTAAAGTCCTTCCACTGACAAGTAACATCGCAAAGTTAGGCTTATTGTTGGAGAATAATGCCCACAACAAGAAAAGTGTTTATTTTAAAAACAACAAAAAAACAAAAAAGAATGTCTTCATAACACATAAGGCAGAATGCTTGACTAAATGTTAATAATCTTATGCCAACAAAATCTTTTTTATCAGATGAGAACAGTAAATGGTGGTGTGGGAACAACATATGATGTAAACCATCTTATGCTTATTTCCTTGCATCTGAATAACAAATGTGTATGGTACATCTTGAGTGGTTTTATAGAGAGCTGTCAGGATTAGGACTCTGGGCTGCATGGTTCTCTGAGATGAGAGTAAGACAGGTGGCTGGGTTGCGAGAGACACAGTGTGACAGCAGCTGACCCCTACTGGGCTTGCAAGGGCACAAGTAACCCCGCAAGTGAACGCGCACCTTGCTGTGCAGTGAGGCATAGATAAAAGGGTTGTAACAGGTTGAGCTCATGGCCACCAGGTGGCAGCTGACTTGCAGCACATTGACATAGTGCTTGTCCACAATGCGGAAGTCAGCATCCAGGTCTAGCAGCAGGTTGAGGATCTGGAGTGGAAGCCAGCACAGGGCAAAGGCAAGCACAGAGGCCACCAGAAGGAAAAAGGTCTTCCGGCGCTGCCTGCTCCAGTGCTGTTGTCTGTGAATAGGCTCTCCTGGAAGTGTATGTCTGTGGAGGTGCACACTGATAGCACAATAGGAGATGCTGACAGACAAAAGTGGAATCATGTAGGAGGCCAGCAGGAAGAAGCAAGAATACAGCAGACGCTGCCTCTCTGCACCTAGCCAGAACTCCTCACACACCACTAGCTCCATGCCACTGGGCCGCAGGTCCACATAGCGCATGTGCAGTGAAGGTGGAGCAGCTAAAACCAGTGAGACTGCCCAGACCCCCAGAGCCACAGCCCCACATCCCCATACTGAAATGCGCCTTCTGACAGGATATGCCACTACCACATAGCGGTCAATGGCGATGGCAGTAAGGGACAGCACAGAGGCAAAGACGGTGGCACCTTGCAGGAGCGGTATAAGGTGACAGAGTGGCTGGCCAAAAGCCCAGCCACGTGAGTCAAAGGCGTAGGAGGCAGTGAGAGGCACACAGCTCAAACACATCAGCAAGTCTCCAGCAGCCAAGTTGCCAATGAAGAAATTGGTGGCATTGTGAAGCTTCTTGTCAGCCAGAATGCAGGCAAGCAGGAAACAATTTCCTACACCAGCTACCACAACAACTACTGAGTACAGGGGCAGAAAAAGAGGCTTGAAGCGCAGAAGAAGCTGAGTGCCAGAGAACTTATCTAGAGGGTCTGTTCGATTGGAAGCCTGAATAGTCCCATTGAAGCCCTCCAGAACTTGTCCGAGGAAAGTATCCATTTTAACCTGACAAAAAAAAAATGACATGACATGACACATGAATTGACAAATGACCTGAAACACTCACACACACAAACTTCACCAATTATCTGAGACAGACTAAGGATGTAAAGGAGATGCTGTTGTCATGGACCTATTGGGAGCTTTTAGCATCTGCCTCTCTCTTCCTTGAAGAGACTCAAGGATCTTTTAAAGGCAAAGCAGAAAGGTTGCTTCTCTACACTGGATAATCAAACTGTTTAATTTGAAGTCATGTTTCTAGTGTTATTAATAGTGAGAATTTCCGATTAAAAAGAATGTGAGCAAAAGGAATATATTTCCATGACGCTATAAATATGTCAGCAGTAAAATAAACATTACATATTTCTGTAGTTACTTTTTTTTAAAAAATTCACCATCACTGTCTTCACCATCATTTCATCCTAAGCTCTGGGATATGGATTGAAAAAGCAGAATGTTCAAATTACGCTGTTGATTTCTTGTACGTCACAGACACACACAACATAATGAACCAAATAACACCAGGTGCTGCACTGCCACTTAGAACACAATGTCTTGGCTTTCTGTGATTTTAGACTGAGAGTGTGATGAAACACAAATGCATGTCCTTTAAATACACTCAGTGCCTCACAGGAGAAACATGCTCTCAGAAAAGCAGCACAATTTAAACTGTCAGATGGTGGGGAATGACAGGTTGTGGAGACTAATAAATTATTGTACATGTGTTACATGACATGATTTGTGGGACTCAGGTTAGGCAATTTATTTTTTACAATTTATTCAACCAGCGCAATCCAAAATTGTTTCTTGGACAGGTCTGTTTGAGAATATATGTGCATTTACAGACGTGTTGATGCTTGTGTGAGAGAGGCTGAATGACTGTGTCATTGTGTGTGTGTGTGTGTGTGTGTGTGTGTGTGGGTGTGTGTGAGAGAGACAGAGAGAGAGAAAGAGAGAGAGAGTGTGTACCTGTGAGCTGGATCCTCAGAGAGCCACTGATCTTCTGTGTTCAGTCAGTTGTCAGAGTTTTGCTCGCTTCCACATTTCCACGATTTTAGTCCGCAAATTTGCTTACAAATGTCTTGGTCCAGCTGTCAGACAGCTGTGTGCCTGAGCAGTGTCCTCGTTCGAATGTTGTGAAAGACGTGCTGACCACCAGCCTCTCAGTACATATCAGAGAGGGGGGGTGTCACACCCGCAGCAAGACCTGAGCTTCAGAGAGAGGGAGCCTGCGGAAGCTTCTTTGTTCCTAGACCACCACTCATTTTGCACCCCCTCTTCCTCCCTATTAACACAACTGTTTTGTCATGTCATTTCTAGTCACAGCAAACTGCTTATAATCATATTATTGTTTGTTTCTTTGCATAACGTTCTATAGCATTTTGTGCAGAATAAATTGGATGTCAGCAACAGAAAAAAAAAAATATGAAAACAATATATTACCGTTTAAAGGTACATAACTGAAACTCTTACTGATCTTAATACAGAAATACACACTTCATCATTCTTAAACACCTTTTATGCATTTATTTTAAACTTTACTTTTTGCAACACTTCTTGTTTGCCTCACAGTTAGGAAATAATCAATAATATTCAATATTAAAGTCTGAATATTAAAAAGCCCAAATATCATTCATATCTTGATATAGGCTTCATAGTATTATAGGCTAGTACATATTTCATTATTCCTTCGTAGTTCATTTGTTAATGAAGAACATAGAACAGACGTAGAATAGCTTATAGAAGTAGACTAATCCATTCAGCTCAAAAAACATACCATCCGTCTTCAAAGAAAACATCATGAATTAATTTCAAATGCTGGACATAACCGGAACCAGAAAAGCTATGGTCATCAAAGAAGAATCAGAGAAAAATCTGGGATGCATGAAAAGGAGAAAAGATTGCAAAAAAGAGAAGCCAAAATCAAGAAGAATTGTTCAAGAGAAATAAATAGTGAATTCCGGAGACCTTCCAGGAAGGATGACGACCAATACTACAACAACATCTGTAGATATACTGAAAAGATAAGGGAGACCAAAAACTAATTTTAGCGATGAGTCAGTACTCTGAGAGATGGCGGTGGACAAATCATAACAGATGAAACAGAAATAAAAAAAAACAGAAAGAATACACAGAAGACCTCTAAAAAAGTCAATTACCAAGATACTTTTGTTGATGTTAGCTGCACAAAAGAACCTTTAGTGCTTGCAGATGAAGTCAGACAGGCCCTGAGATTACTGCCAAAGATGTAAGCCAAAGGAATCTATAATACTGCAATATTTAGAAATAGAAAATAGAAATATTTCAAGATTCTGAAAATCTGAAGAGATTCGGTTAAAGTTATGATTCGGTTAAAGTCCAAATTATACCAGCAAATATGGTAAACGGCTCAGGGAGTGGCAGATTAGAAGAGGTCAGTTGATTTTTCAGTACCAAAGAAAGGAGATAAGAAAGAGTGTGCAAACTATCACAAAATATCAGAGGGCAGTAAAATTATGCTTAAGATCATTCAACATAGACTAAGGCCTTACATCGAAAGAGAACTGCCAGTTATGCAGAGGAACAAGAGATATCATTATGGATGTATGCTGGATTATTGAAAAAGCTAAGGAGTTCAACATGTGTTTCATTGACTACAGCAAAGCCTTTGATTGTACTGACAATGTAACATTATGAAATGTTCTCAGGAAAACAGAAATATCAGGGCATCTCATCATTCTAATGAGGAATTTCTACACTGATCAACAAGCGATGGTCAGAAGAGAAAATGGTTCCGCATTGGAAAAGGAGTTTGACAAGGCTGCATACTATCACCATACATGTTCAACTTGTATGCAGAATGCAGAACATATAATGAGAGAAGCAGGACTGGAGGAAGATGATCAAGAATTTGGGATTAGTGGAAGAAACATCAATAAACTTTGATGTGCAGGTGTTACAACACTTATAGTGGAAAATCTGGAAGATCTGAAGGTGGTTAAAGAATGGAGTGAAAAGATGGGACTTTAGCTTAATGTTAGGGGTGCAACGATTATTCAACTTAGTCGAATAAATCGCAGACCAAATTAATTGGCAACTAATTTAATAGTCGATTAGTTGGTGACGTCATTACATGTCTTTCTTGAGCTCACTCAATGTTTTGACATTGCTGCTTGCTGGAGAGTTGAAAAAAGCGCGATGGCAGCCTCAAGAACAAAATCCTCAAAAGTGTAGGAGCATTTCACGCTAAACTTAGGAAAAAAGATTAATCTCAGTAAGTTAGTTGTGCTAGTTAGTTAGCTAATGTTAATGTTAAAAGCCATCTTACTTTGGGTTATGAGCTGTAACATCTATTTCGAAATGCATGTTTTCTGTTTTCCACGAACATTTGCCTCTACTCACAAACAGTTTCAGGAGGTAGTTCTCTGCAAACATACGGGGCAGCTGGACAAAAGGTTACCGTTAAAATAATATGTTTACACAAAATCATTTAAATTTAACTGTTTAGAGAACAAGTTTTCCACAAACGTTCACCACTTTTCCCACCGCTCCATCAGAGCACAACTTCTCTGCTGCGGGGAATATCTGCTATCAGAAAACAGACAGCAGAATGCACAAAGCACAGACAGCACTGTTTAAATTTAAAATTTAATTTAGATTGATTTTTTTATTTACTTGATTAAAGAAATACTGATTTAGTTGTGTTATATTTCATTGCTGCTACTTTGCACATCCTTGGTTTTAAATTCTGACAGGAAAAATATATTGGAGTTTTATTTATCTTTTGTATTCATAGGAAAGTATATTAAAACAGTGAATTTTTGAGTAAGTTATTCATCTTTATTGTCTTCATTGTTAGTTTGCAAATGCATAAAACAACCTCAAGGTAAATGTAAAAGCTGATAGCTACATAAGAGTTATTTGGTAATTTAGTGATTCATAATCTAAATAATCAATTTAATTTCAATAACCGATCGTTTGTTGCAGCCCTACTCAATATGAAGAACACTAAGACTGCTAAAATGAGAAGATGTGGATATGGAGGACAACTTTTGCCTACACTGTAAAAAGTGGGACTGGGGTTAATTAATATTTGCTAAATAACTAATAGTAACCTCTACATAATAAGACTATGTTCAGTTAGAAATCAAACTGAGCTGAATCCAATAAATTTAAATGTTTTGTTAATTGCATTTTACGCGCTTTTGGTTGAATTAAATTAGCTGTGATACATTGAGTAGAATTTGCTTATGTTTTATCAGGAACAAGAACGATGCAGAAAATCGACAGATTTTACTCATTGGGAGGTCATTGGTTTTAATCACGTCACGCTTCTGCCTAACGTCTTTTGTGCCTCATGGGCACCTGTGACTACACGTTTCAGGGGTTGCAGTCCCCCAACTTCCCAAAGGTAAGACCTTTTTAATTATTGCTAGGAAACAAACAATTTCGAAGTATGTTGCTGTGGCAGTTGTCTTTTAAGCTACTGCAGCTTACCGAAGTCAAAAGCTTACCATGTCAGACTTCCTGGGCTCTAAGTCAAATTTAAGCTAGCAGCTAGCGAATGCATTTTAGTTTTGATTAGCATAGAAGCATGGCCTGGATTTAAATTACAGATTTTGCTGTTGAGGTACGGAGAGAGGCGAGGCTCTCTGATGTGTCGGCAAAAAAAACATACAGGAAGATTCCTCCCATACTGAGGAGAGCAGATGACACCCGTGTTGAGCTCCGAGCCGTCACCAACGTTTCACTGCGGAGGCGACAACTGTGCGCCTAGAGCCGCTTCAGGAAAATTCGAAAGGATTCAAAATGCGTTTGGTGAATAAATGATTGGTTTATTTGACGTAGCAGCAGCTTTTCAATCGAATATTTATTCAAACCTAATTCTGTAATTTGTGAATGTTTAACTCTTCATATGTCAAAAAACAAAAATAAGCATCGCTTGCTAACAGTTAAGTTAGCTAACTAGCTCGCTGGCGATTCATCTCTTTTAGATGACTGTTTGCTCTCACAAAATAGGATAAAGGCACCTTTTTAGTTAAATTACAATTTTAAAGTGAGCCGGTGTCGAATTTATGGTATAATAGACTAGTGTGTACACTTGTTAGAGTTACTAGCTAGCTAAATAACCTAGCTAGCTAGCTCAGCTACGTATGCGCGAGCTTAGGCTAAGTTAATAGCTCTGCTGGACGATCAGTTCACTCCGGCTAACCTGTGCTGACCATGATGGCTTCAGATCTGAACGGGAGACGTCGAGAGACTGACCGGTGTTTGAATGACAGAAAAGCAGAAACTAGCTAGCTTACCTAACCTAGCTAACTACGGTCTGTGATGTGTGGGGCTGTTAGCTTGGTGGCCAGCAGGCTAACGGGCTCACACACCACAGAGCACGTTCGATACCTCTCTCACAGAAGTTTAGAGGTTAAACACAGAAATTTAAGGGGAAGATGTCGAGTGACTGGTACAGTTAAAGCATTAGTTTAACAAGGTCAACTGAGCTTCTATTTGGCAGCTAGCTGCCGAGTGATTTTACATGCTAACAATCCTATATCACACTAAATTTTGTGAAATCTGTTCTTTCTTCTCCTTAGGTTCCTATGTTCAGGCTTAACCATATCTTTTGTTCTTGCAGTTACCTAACCTATACGTTCCCTACATCTACCACCAGCATTGCTCAGGTATGGAAGCAGCTTTTATTTACCTCTCTTTCTCTGGCATGTTGCTGGTTCGTTTACACTGATTTTTCTATATTTGTAATCGTCTAAGATGAATATGTCTGTCTTTAATTGAAGTCAGTGTTTTAAACTGAAAAGTTATTAATATGTCTGTGTTTCTCATGACTGACTGTAATAACCTTTGGGAAAGAACAGTTTTGTGATGTTTTTAAATGTTTTCTCGTGGAGGGTGCATGTTGACTCACGTACAGATGTTGACTGAATACCTTTTCACAAGTAATATTTAACCAAGAGTATTTCTGCTTTTACTCAAATTACCAACACCTGTCTTACACAACAACTAAGAAGCTATGTATTTTAGCCACACTGCTTCTCGCTGATAACCAACTCCAGAATAAGCCAGAAAAATATCTCTAAGCTATAAAAGCAGCATGTTTACTAGATTCGAGAGGCTTGAATGCTTATACAAATGCAGTTAGCAAACATAAATGTGCCTGTGTCTGTTTCAGTTGTTGAAGGTAGTCTTTTAAACCTTTACCAAATGTTTTATCTTTTACAGCCATCCATCCACTGCTGCTTCTGGTTCTCAGCTGATCAGGAATTGTCCCAGGTACTTTAATTTATAGTATCATTATGGTATTGCTCTTTGTAATATTATTACATATTACGCTAAATATTTTATTACGTCTTTTAGCACAAGACATTGTCAGTATTATGTATTTTAACTTGTATTTGACTCACCTGCTTTGTTTTTTTCTTTACTTTGCAAAACTGTTGTATGAAAACAATAAAACTTTAAAGATTGTGTGCTATTGTAAAAGACAGTACAATGTTATTCACAGTAACATGCTCTTTCTTGTATTGCTTTGCATATACCTTTGTTTTTCTTGTTACTTTATAAATTTATTTTTGATACTGTTTACTTTTTGTTCAGGATTCTTTATCCTTATGTTTTGTATGGTGAGTATTTATTACTAATTTTGCTCACTTATTTCTTCATTTACACTGTTAGAAATTCAGCAGGAAGAGTCAGGAGACTGAACCTTCAGCATTGACTGGAGTTTTATTACCACATATAGAGTATGGTACAGCGTGGTCGATCAACAGTCAATCAGCAGCATCA